GGAAAGATATGCACATATACAGTGTAGATTTTTGGTACTTAAATCTCGCCCTATTGGAGGTCATTTTATATTGCATTACCTCATATTTTTAAATTTGAAAAATTATGTATTCTGATAAAATAGATTTTAAGACTGCGTTTATTTTTGCTTTTGATCCAATAAGCGTAGTTGTTTAGAAGACAAAATAATCTTATTTGGCCATTTTGCCTCTTTCATTACAAGGTTTATCGTGTCTTCTATGATCGTCTTATTACTGACGCTGATCGCCAAAAGTTTTTTGAGATTGTACGTCAGACCTGCTCAGACACTTTTCGTACTAACTTGGATAAGGTGCTAGGCCATCTCTCGAAGAGTGGACGAGTTGCAGATGAAGATGTGCGTAGTCTGATGTTTGGAGATTACTTGAATGATGAAGGTGTATATGACGAGGTTACGAACCTGAAAGAACTGGCAACTCGGATGGAAAGTTTTTTAGAGGATTATAACCAGATATCCAAGACTCCTATGCGTCTTGTTATGTTCAAATTCGCAATGGAGCATGTCAGTCGAGTGAGTAGGGTATTGAAACAAGATAGTGGACATGCACTCCTTGTAGGTAAGTAATATCTTAGCTATGTTGAATTGCAGAGTTTTTTATGCTATCCACTTATTTAGTTAATTGAATGACAGTAAGATAAAGCTTATCTAATTAAAAGTATTTCTTATATATAAGCTTCATCCTTCCATGCTTTATTGTGGCAATGAATTTATATTCCAGCTCTTTGATTAACGAATTCTCGTAATGAAAGATATTAGAATGGAATTCGGTGCTAGAGCTTCTTACTACAAATTTATGCTAAACCTTTTAAAAATGTTTTTGAGCGCTACTTCAGCCTAAAGCTAAAATACTTTCATTTTATGAAGCTTGTATTTTAAAAGTTAACTTTCGCTCAATAGTATCCTCTTCCTCAGTTATTCTATGCAATATATATGATCGCAAAAGCTTCGGTCACTTAAAAATAGAAATTTTGGGGCCCAGATAGGCTTAGCAAATTGGAATAAAGTGGGAAAGTACCTCAGCTAGCCTTTACATATAAAGCTGTGCCTGCAATGGTTGGGAATTCATTTAAAATAGCATTTGAAAAAGAATTTTGTTTCTTACAGTATATGAAATAATTCATTGATTACTTTTAATTCACAAGGGTTTGCCTTCTATTATAAGAATTGCAACGCCAATATTCATAATTATCTTTTCATTTCAGTAGCGGTTATTCTTTATTTTACAGACTCAGACTAGCTATTTGTATCTACTAGCAACGCTTTGATTGCATACGTATTCAATTATTTATTAGTTCGTTTACCTTATTTCGAAGATAATTGTGTATGGCTTAGGAAATAGTTAAATCAAACTACGTAACTATCCTAAATGCCTTTTATTACAGGGGTTGGTGGAAGTGGTCGTCAAAGTGCTTGTCGGTTAGCAGTGCATATGGCTGACTATGAACTGTTCAGCATTGAGATTTCTCGCAATTACGGTCAAACTGAATGGCGTGATGACCTAAAACGCTTACTTCTTAAGACGGGTTGCGACGGCAAGCCGACGGGATTTCTCTTATGTGATAGCCAGATTAAATATGAATCTTTTATGGAGGATATCTCGATGTTGCTAAACTCCGGCGACGTGCCCAACCTCTTCCCATCTGACGAAAAAGCAGAGCTGCTAGAAAAGATGCAAACCTATTCCAGAGCGGAGGTTTGTAAAGAAATAAACTGAAAATATTTTTTATTTTATTCCAATAATCATGTCGGAGCTTTAAACTATTGGACATATTTGCAATAGGCGATGGGGGAAATTCATTTTTCTGCCATAATCATGCTTTAAAATACTAAAGTTTTTTATTTTCCGAAATAAAATATTATATTTAATCCTCATTTAGTATACTAGTTATAACTCAAAAAAGAAACATTAAAGGTATTTATTTAACAATTTTAAAATTTACTTAACAAAGAAACCTGAATTCGTGTTGATGAGAATCTCATTATATTTATGTTTTATTTCCACAAAATTCTAAATCAAATTTGAAAGTATGGCTTTTGCTGAATTCCTTAAGAGATTAATGTTGTTGTATCTTTACTTTCGTATGAGAAGGCCAGTGTACCAAATTTAAATGTCGAAGAAGGATTTCCTCAGATTTTTGACTGTTGATTTGTACGAATAGGTTCTCAGTTCACTGACCTGAGACCCTGATGGATCAATCTGAGCTTAAGTCCTTCATATGATAGGCATCTTCAGATCATGAATACATGCTTTACGATAATTTTCAAACAGAAAATCGTAAAATATCAAATTTTCAAAATGCTAGAGAGATAACCAAGATTATTCTCCATATAAATATGTGCTTGAAAGTATATTAGTTAATATACAGGCAAACCCTACATTACTCGTCATTCAATGAAAATATATCTACCATATATGCAGAAATATATACCTGGCATAGTTCACGACATACCTTTAGTCGAATTACCTATAAATTGAGTACCAATATAATTCTATCAATTAAGAGAAATCCGGGCCTCCTAATAGGACCTATAGGTTATAACTATTCATTACACCGCGAGAGCCAAATATTATCTATTTAACCTCATATAATTTTGTTGCCCAGGCTGTTGAGGCTGGGTGCTTCATAATGGATCATAAGAAATCTACAGATTTATATTTTTTTCTATAAAAATAAAAATACAGGTACATTTATATTAATCTATTTATGGATAATAATAGTAAAGATTAATAATATCTTAACTAAATTATTCATTTAATTTTATATTAACTGCTTTCAATGCGGTTATCACTGAGAAAGCAGCCTTATCTGAATGTATATAGTTGCATTTAATTCTACTTCTCTGGCAAACAAGTTCGCTTTTATCATTATTTTATTTATAATTCTATTGTATTCTTAATGTCAGAAAACTTTATGGTGAATTCGGAACCATTCTTCTAGCCAGTAATTGTATTTGAATTATAAATAACATACAACGAATAGGGATAACACAAGCATCAGGTTTTTAATTGCTCTTATTCATTATTATGTATGAATAATTTAGAATAGTTTGCATAGACAAAAAATTTTTATAATCGTATTATAATGCAAATAAATGAGAATCTATTGTTCAGACTATCTTTGTACTTCATTTATATAATCTAACTTCCTTAAATAAATAGTGTTCTTGAGAAGTAACGAATTCCAATTTTTTTGCTTCTTAATTCAAATTCTTGATTTTACCCACTCTTTCTTAAATATATTTTGCGTATAAAGAATGTGGAACAAATGATAGGATAATAATATGTATATTTTTACTGCAGTTATCCAAGATAATTAATAGCTTATACTACTTCCGCAGATTGTTCTAAATTTATATTTTTCCTATAAGTAGACGAAGTTAAGTATACGTTAGGCTTTTTAATCAGCTTAAAGCAAAATCTTTTACTCACAGCTTATATAGCTATTGTCAGCCTTATATAATGCAGGTGTTTATACTTTTATAAAATTGCATCTTGATATATTTGCATGCTCGTTACTTGTGTAACTTGAATAACGGCTTTGAATAGACAAAATTAATTTTAATATATTAATCTTTTCAAATTTAACTTAAATTTGCTAGAAATATACTAATCTTTATTAGAAGGATCTTGTGGCTTAGTTACTGAAAATATTTACATTCATTTAAATTAATTCACTTTGTTAAAAGTTAGTCCATGATTTGTCAATTAAGTAGGATGCAAAAGCGATAACTTTTTAAATCTCATCATTGTCTTGACATCTCAGTAAATTACTTCGACATTATTTTTGAAAGCAGAAAATATTAGCACAAAAATGTGTCAACTCAATGATTTATATTAAATAACACGATAGAAATTGATAAATTTTCTTGCTAAAAGAAGGAAAATATTTCGAAACAGCAGTGATGAGGGACATCATCAAACCCAATGTTGCCTCCTAATTTTTACTTTATCTCTCAGCCTCTGGGTTAGGGTTAGCAAACTATAAGCAACCTTTAAGCAACCTATAAATAACTATGTACAATCGTCAAGAGAGAATTGATTCTTGATTCAAATTTATGGTTGCATTTCATGCTTGGCTGTCAGAGCGTTGTATGACTCCAAAATGAAACAGGTATTCGATAATAATTTTAACTTTTTATATTTATTTGAAATAGTAGAGCCGAATAAACCGGAATTTTTCTGGAATAAATTAAGTATTGGCTCGCTGAATCAATTTTTTAAATTCATGTGGACCCTAATACAAAGGTGTAGTTCAATTACCTATGAGTATCCTGCGAAAAATCATGAATGTCTACATACCTATCTGTCATTCATAATTCGAATCTTTATTTGGTAAAATTTATGGTAGAACAATTTAGCCACTTTATATCGCTTAATATGATTCAAAAATTTATGATAGAATCTTCCTATAATAATCTGTGTATGCATCATCGAAGTTGATGTGGCTTTACTTATCAAAATTTTGTCTGTCATTAACTGAGGATGAGTAATTTCTTATTTGCTAATTACTGATAGATTCGAAAAATGCAGAAATGAAAGCTAAGTAACTTAGCCGATTGCAATAGCAAATGTATCATCGACACTCCAACCATAAATTTGATTTAGGTAAGATGGTACTTGCCTTATAAATCGCATTGCGTTCATCTATCAGAAATAAGTTTCTGTCTAACAGAGTGTTAAAGCCCCAACTACGCTCAGGATTCTTTTTCTATAACCCTTTGATAATCTGAGGAAACAAAGTTAAATTAATTGGAAAAATGAGTTCTACTCAGAAAATTTCGGAAATATTCTTCTTTCCGTATTTAAATCATCCTGTGTGATCTAATGTGACTAAACTTTATACATTAATTTCTGAACGATTCGAAAGGTACTCAGATCAAGTAGACCTAATCGAATTTTGAATCAAACAAAAACTAATTCTTACTTTTATTAAAAAATTCTAACTTCTTATTCTGTAATAAAAATAAGGACTGCAATAATTGCATCCAGCGGGATTCTTGATCAGAATCAGTATCCCTACTGGACACTTCCCTCCACTTATATTGCCTAAATGCTTAACAGAAAATTGATAAAGTGGATTGAATTCACGTACCATTTTCAAGAATGAGTTTTATGCACTATGATTAGCCTCATAGTGCCCAGAAAACTAGCTCATGCTGAAATAAAAGTACAGTTTGTAAAAAAATATATTTTGATTCGACAGCTTAATCACTCGCTTAATTATTGACTCTGTACTAATATTCTTTAAACTTTTATGAACAGAACAATTTTAGTTTAAACAAAACCTTTAGAGTTACCAGGTTACTAGATCAAACTTTCAAACTTTATTAAAACAATATCATGTAAAATAATTTATTTTTATAAAATAGCCGTCTATTTTCACCTTATTTTTAAGTACTTATGCTAAGCCAACGTTTTTTATTCCAACATCTTAATAGGGCAGGAAGGTGGACCTCTCTCCTCTGGCTATGTACAACTACTTTACTGAGAGAGTTCGTAAAAACTTGCACATCGTCTTGGCTATGAGTCCGATAGGTGATTCTTTTCGCTCAAGGCTGCGTATGTTTCCTTCGCTTATCAACTGTTGCACGATCGATTGGTTTCAGGTAATTTGTTGCAACAAATTGCCCAAGGATGGATTTACATGGTAGATCCATTACGTAGAGCCGGAAATAATTATATAATTTTCTAATAGTAAA